TCTCTGTTATAATAGTTGTACAGAGGGGTTTTAGTGAGTTATTTCTATAACCCTATCAAATTCATCTCCTCTACTACTTCTTTTCATCCCCCTCTTTATTACACATGTTTCAACTTGATTATTTGCCACTGAAATATCTATTACTCAACAAATACTTTATTTTTCTTTTTTTCTTCCTAACTGGAAGTATCATTGCATGAATGCAACCTTTTTTTCCCCTATAACTTCAGTCTGAGTATTCTGAGAAACATGTTAAGGTCAGAAACCTCCAGAATACCAAGTCCCAATATTTTTAAAAAAGTTTCCCTATCCCCTAAGCAAAAGAAATAGTCACTAGGTTGAAGAGACAGCCTGTAGGATGATAAAAATTCTTTAATAACTATGCATTTAATAAGGGATTAATAAATAAAATACATAAAGCTCAAAAATGTCCCAAAGAGTCAAAACACAGTTAATAAATGGGCAAATGAACTCAACAGGCAATCTGGAAGAAATACAGATGGTCAATAAATACATGAAGGAATGATCAACATCCTTGGCCAATGAATATTTAAACAACACTGAGATTTTATCTCCGTGAGAATGACCATCATCAAAAACACTAACAACAACAAATTCTGGCTAGGGTGACATGTGGGAATATAATATAACTCAGCCACAATGGAAATCCAATATAGTTTGGTTTTTTTGGTTCCTCTTGGGGCTTGAACTCAGGGATTAGGTCTTGGCCTTAGCTTTTTCACTCAAAGCTAGTGCTCTACCTCTGAGCTACAGGCACTTCCAGTTTTCTGGTGGTTAATTATTAATAAGAGTCTCAAGGATTTTCTGCCCATGGCTTTGAACTGTGATCCTCAGATCTCAGCTTTCTGAGTAGCTAGGATTACAGGTGTGAGCTGTCATCACCAGGCTCCAAGACAGTTCTAAAAGCCTGTTTTTTGCAATTCAAATTAAGATCCTTATCAAGATGCTTCCTCTTCCAACTAAAACGGAATAACTGGGATTGAATATATCTTTCCACCTGAAGAAACTATAAAAGAATAGTTAGCCCTAAAGAGGAGAAACAAATGAGATTACATTCCAGGAACCTAAGAAGAGCCAAACACACTGACAGGAAATAAGAATTGGGAGTATGAGCAACCCAAGGTCACTAGGGTTTTCAGAGCAGAATACTAAATAGGAGAGATCTACAAACAGAATGTGCTTGATACTGGTAGTATCTAAAGTTGCTTATACAGCTAACAGTGAGAAGATCTTGAATAGTCAATTTAAAACAAAGCAAATTACCTAATGATACTTTTTTTTTTGGTCGGCCATGGGGCCTGAACTCTGTCCCTCAGCTCTTCTGCTCAAAGCTAGCACTCTACCATTTGAGCCACAGCACCACTTCTGGCTTTTTCTGCTTTTGTAGTACTGTGGAATCTAACCCAGGGCCTCATGCATGCAAGGCAAACATTCTACCACTGAGCCACCTTCCCAGTCCCATTTAATGATACTTCCTATTCACTCATAATGAGTTAACCAATGTTAGAGACAATTCAGTTAGTCAGTGCAAAGTCAGTGGCAGTAACTGGACAACTATCCTCTAAGAATAGCTTATGTGGAACAACTAGAGGCAAGACTATTTTCAAAGAAACTGAAACACTTTTTAGAGGTGTGGAGACTGAGGTCTAGAGAAGGGGGGAGATAAATGAAGAGGTGAGTGGTGAGCAAATGCAGTCATTAAGCAGTCAAAAAGGGCTGGGGCCAGGCGCCGGTGGCTCACGCCTGTAATCCTAGCTACTCAGGAGGCTGAGATCTGAGGATCGCGGTTCAAAGCCAGCCCAGGCAAAAAAGTCCATGAGACTCTTATCTCCAGTTAACCTCTAGAAAACTGGAAGTGGCACTGTGGCTCAAGAGGTAGAGCGCTAGACTTGAGCTGAAGAGCCAAGGGACAGCACCCAGGCCCAGAGTTCAAGCCTCACGACTGACAAAAAAAGGGGGGCTGGGACATGACTCAGTAGTAAAGAACTACATATCAAGAGCATGGTCCTGAGTTCAAACTCCAGTACCACTAAAATATAAAAATAAAATAGAAGTGCCTTGGACAAAAACATTAAGCAATAATACAAGGCCCTGAATTCAAGCCCCACTACTGGTGCAGAAGAATTCATAAAAATAGCATAGGAAATTGTAAGAAAGGAAGGGATAAGATAGTAACAGGGATTGAATTTGATCAAAGTGCATGATATAAATTTATGGAAATACCACAATGAAACCCCTTGTGCAATTGATATATGCTATAATTTTTTAAATTTGAAAACTGTGTGGAGCTGGGCACCAGTGGCTAATGCCTGTAATTATAGCTATTCAAGAGTCTGAGCCAACCTGAGCAGGAAAGTCCATGAGGCTCTTTTATCTCCAATTAACCACCAGAAAAAAATGGAAATGGCACTGTGGCTCAAAGTGATAGAATGCTAACCTGGAGCAAAATAGCTCAAAGACTAAGCCCCAGTCCTGAATTCAAGCCCCACAACTGACAAAACGCGCGCGCGCGCACACACACACACACACACACACACACACACACGAAGTGTGGGTGCTTCCAAGGATGGTATTTTGTGGATATGACTAAATGTAATATATCTCTTAATTTATGTGTGTGCTAGAACTAGGGCTTGGACTTGGAGTCTAGGTGCTGTCCTGAAGCTTTTTTGCTCAAGGCTGGTACTCTAATGCTTGAGCTACAGCTCACCTTCTAGCTTTTTGGTAATTAATTGAAGATGAGTATCTTACAGAGTTTCTTGCCCAAGCCAGCTTCAAACCATGATCCTCAGATCTTGGTCTCCTGAGTAGTTAGAATTAGCAGTATAAGCCACCAACTAGTAGTATGTCTCTTTAAATTATCAAGTACCAAAAAAGCCAGCAGGATCTAACCAAGCTGAATGCATGTCACCTCCACAAATTGAAACTTACAGAGCTCAATATGATAGAAGACAACATTCTTCTGATAGTGTATATGCTTTATAGTGGTATATGTGATTCTCATGTTAAGACTGGATGTTTTGTCAAGATTTGCTTCGTAAAATAATTTTTGATGTTTGTTGCTTTTTAAAATTGTATTTATATTATCTTTAAGTAGTTGTACAAAGAAGTTACCATTCAAAAAATCAGTTTATAAGTATAATATACCTTGATTCATTTTACCTCTTTCATTATTCTCCCCCATCCCTCCCTCCGTTTTCTTAATGTTGTAGGATATGAACTGAATGTTTTGAATATTTTATCTTTAAGTAGTTAAACAGAGGAGTTGCTATTCACCAAAGCAGTTGATGAATACAGCGCATCTTGATCATGTCACCCCTTTCAACATTCTTACCCAGCCTTCCTAACCCACCTCTTCCTTGTAAGTTATGTATTTAATTTTTTTGCCCTTTAACAAAGCATCTTGGTCTGTGCCATCACTTCAAAATCTTTACCTCCCCTTTTGACCCCCCTCTTCCCTTATAGTTCGCAATTTTTTGATAGATACAATGAAATTTTGCAACTGCATTCTCACTTCCTGTCTTCATTTGCCTGCCCTCTTCCCCTTATACTCCCACCTTTCAAGTGCCAGTTTCCTGGTATTTATTCTGTAGCTTTTTAACCTGCAAAATTATTCAGTCATTTCTGACAGCAAAAGTACTGTCAGTATACTTAGTGAAAGAAATTAGCTCTGAAATACAAGTGAAATCTGAGACCTGTCTGCCACATACTTTATGCTTCTCCAACAGTGTAAAACATGATCAGATATGGCTCCTAAAGAAATAGTCTTGATGATAATATTCAGACCATAAGATAAATGTTTATACTCTGGGCAAGATTAATATGTTAGAAGGAAAAATAGCCTTGTTACAAATATGCTATACTTTTTTTGTATTCTTTTTTATTGTGAAAATACTGTACAGAGGGGTTACAATTACATGGGCAAGATAATGAGTACATTTCTTATCAAGCATCGTAGCCTCCTCCTTTGTTTACCCTTCCCATCCTCCCCTCGCCCCCCCACCCAATCCTCCCCGCTTACTCCCCCCCACACCAAAGTTGTAAAGTTCATTTTTTGACATAATGACTTGTACATCTCATTGTTGCAATGGGTCCACCTGTATCCCTATTTAAGATACAGTCAGTAACATGAACCATTTACTTTTTTGCTTTCATTAGTCATTTCTTTTGGTGGAAAGACTGTCAATCTAGTCTGGAATGTTGAAGGGGCTCTGTAGAATGCAAACCACTTGGCTCTGCTACTCACTTGATCTGTGACTGCAGTTCACTTCATCCTTTCTGGGCCTCAGTTATTCTTTTCTGGACATCAGTTTCCTTAACTATAAAATTAAAAAATGATGGGCTGGGAAGGTGGCTCAGTGGTAGAGTGCTTGCCTTGCATGCATGAGGCCCTGGGTTTGATTCCTCAACACCACATAAAGCAGAAAAAGCCAGAAGTGGTGCTGTGTCTCTAGTGGTAGAACACTAGCTTTGAGCTGAAGAGCTGAAGGACAGCACCCAGGCCCAGAGTTCAGGCTCCACAACCAGGAAAAAAAATTTTTAAATGATTTCAAATTTTATCAAAGACCATCGAGACATAATTGGTTCTAGCCAATGAAGTATAATAAGAAATATGTTTCACTTCCAGGCTTTCTCTTTGATCTCTCTGCCCTGACACAACAATAGAGACACCCGTCTACCTGTTCCAGGTGATGGAGCCCTTATTGGCCTGGACCAATACTTTATATTCAGTACTTTGTGTCACTAACATAAGCATGATTACTTTTCCCACTCTATAGTTAAAGAAGCCTCTTCACAAATTAGGAGAACTGTTGGGTGTAAACAATAGAAAAGAGCTCATAGACGGGAAGCAGAGATTTGTTCTTGAGGCCTACAAGTGTTTTCCTTCCCTAAGGTTTTCCTGAGGACACTTCTGAATTTCTTAGATTCTAATGTTCTAATAGTCTGATCCTATTCTGTCTGGGTTGTATGTTTTACAGGTATGAGACATCCCTGTTGGATTTGGTTCATTCTCTGAGCCCAAACTCTGCTCACAAGCCTCGTCCTCATTCATTCAGAGAAGTTGGGGCCCAGAATCACAATGCTTTGCGACTTAGCCCTCAAAAGTCAATCTGGAAGAAGACGGGAACACATAGGACTCCTGAAGACCTGGAGGAGAATCAAATTCTGGAAGATATCTTTTTCATTTGACTCCAAAGCATAAGCTACAAAATTTCCACAGGAAATTTGTGGGTTTCTTCACATACTGATCTAGGATGTTAAAATGATTGATTACAAAGTAATTGTGAGTCTCCTTTCACAGGGACGTATCTCACTGACACCCTACAATGTATTGAACATAGAATTTTCCCTAAACAACCCAAGGTGTTTTTGATCAGACTAATCAGTAGATAATACATTAAAGGGAAGTAAGCTGAGGAATAGTACCATTTTATGCCAGGGATTAGAAACTTAGGGTACTTTTTGCATGGCAGACATCGTTGTATATTCATTGTCATTTAAAGAGTGTTTCCTTCTCAATCGCCTGAGGAGAAAGATTCGTTCTCTTTTGTACACAACAAAAACCTTTCCTCTCAAAGATACCTCAAATACCTTGTGACAAGCAAATTTCATAAAGACGTTTACATTCTCCCCCTGTTCTCTCACCACTGCCTTTCTGTAAGTGTGATCCTTTAATTCTAAAGTTTGAATTGGTACCTCTACCACCAGAAGCACTGGGAATAAGTTGTGAGTTAGTTGTAGTAGTCTTCAGCCTGGTAACTGACCTTCCTAAAACCAAAAGGTCCATTGGGCTAGAAGAAAGGACTCAACCAACTCTTGGAAACAAGCAGCATTAAAATGCATGTATGAATAATGGTCCTGGAAAAAATTCAGAAGAGAAACAAGCTGAATACTTTTCCTACCAATGTTCATGTTTCTGCCCCTGTAGTTTCCCTGGATGAAGAAAAGCAAGCTCTAGATATTTCTTACTGACCCAAGTATCATATCAGTTCACCTTCTATCAAATGTGCTCTTGTAAATTGCCATAGTTATATCTGGAGAAGATTTCTTCAGATGGAGAGTGGCGCCCAGCAGCTACAGCTGATAGGCTTCCACTGGCATTTCTCCCCCCATGCAGGTGAAAGTTCCTGGTTGTCCAGGCCTTGCATGTTTTCTGTCTATGAAAACCATGTAGTTTGGGTAGCCTCCATGTCCAAGAGAAAATCTCATTGTCCCTACAGGCTGTCCTATTGCGTCTACCCAGTCTTCCTTTACTTGGGTCTTTTCTTCTTTGGAGGAAAGAATGACATTTTCTTAATCCAAAGTAAACCCAAGGGTAGAACTAAGCTAATGGTAAATGTTTTCTTGAAAAGTTGAAAAATTATTGAAGATTCCAATTTCCTTTTAAATTTATCCCTCTGAGAGTAGCCAATCAGTTTCACTCCATTTCAAAGAGCTTTTGTAATATGGAGCTTTCTTTGTTGTGTCTAAAGTGAGTACATGGCAAATAGGCATTTTGAAAGAGAAAGGTTATCACCACAATCTTCATATGTCCTCTCTACACACCACCAGTTGCCATTCTCTATACATTTTATGTTGGTATGAGGGAAATAAGATGTGAATTTGTTTATAATGTAATATCTTAATGGTTAATTGAATAACATGCTAATGTTTTCCTCAATATTAAAATTACTTTGAGATATGTATGTTCTAGTAGAACCTTGAGGCCTAACTTCTTATTCCACTAAGAGAGAGCCTGACACAAAGGGCTCGACCCTTCAGAGAGAGAGAGAGAGAGAGAGAATATTCCCAGCAAGCTGCTTTAGATTTGTTTGCCTGTCCAAGATTTCCCCAAAACAAGACTGGACACACAGTAAGGGTACTGCAAATAGAATTACAACAATGCCTATCCTGCTACCCATCAGTTTATGAGAGAAAAACCAATCAGTGTTTGTAAAATGGAAAATGATGGAGTGTGTCCATTAAAACTTCCTAAACAAGGCCCACAGTGCTTGATTTAGAAAAACAAGGTTAATCAAGGAAAACCTTCTACTGATGTCACACTTCCAGGAGGCACAGTGTTGATCAGCTCTGGTCTCCTGGTGGGAACTTATCCAGAGCACTCAGATGTCATGAAGAAAGAGGAATGCTCCTATAGAGTCATTCTTCACTTGTTCCTGCTTCCAGTACCAGGTTCATTTTGGAGAGTGGCTGACCAAATTCTATAGAAGGGGAAGAAGACTTAAAAGAACAGAGCTGAGTACTGTCAGAAAACAGAGTCGTAGGCTCTGGAGATTCCTCAGAGTTCACATTTTATCTATAATTCAGTGTACATTATTTTTAATGTGGACAGATTTTTATATACATATGAATTTTAAATTAATAAATTATCTTTATGACTATTTTCCCCATGTGGTTTTGATCTTGACTTGGCCCTTTGAGCATCTCATAAAATCAGTGCATTCTAGCTGGAAAGAAATAGCAGGGCCTAGATTATCACAAAGTGTTTTTTCTCAGTTCTTATTAAAACAACAGGAATCTATAGTGAATTGGGGGAAAGGGGAGATAGTGTGCCACATCCATCTCAGTTCCATCCTGGGGACACTAAGCCTCCTCCAGGTTGTATAGTTGCAAGAATGGAAGATTCAATCTGTGGTACCTCTGAGTCCCTTCTGTCTGCCTGTCCCCTTATCTACATGTCCCCCAAGGAAGAAATGTCACAGCACTTGAGGACAGGAGACATGAATCTGCCTGGTTGACTTCAGAGGTTATAAGGAAGCAGGTTAGGACTTGAGTGCCTGAAAGTCATGGTTCTACGATCACACCCATGTTCAAGACAGCCAAAGAGCCTGTCTTGCTCCCTTTATGCATGCCAACCTGGCACCTCAACCAGAACAGTGAGACTTTGCAGCTGGCACTCAGAGGAAGAAATAGCAAGGGCAGAATCATGGCTCCACCTTCTCTCAAGCTAAAAACCAAATAAGCCAATTGCCACAAATGCCATAAGGTTATTCTTGTGTCTAGGGACAAAGCTAGAGAGGAATGAGGTAATCCTAATCCTCAGGGAATGTGTGAGCTAGCAGCTTGAGAACCAGTTTCATAGATTAGTGTTCCTTGTTTCTTCAGCCACTTAGGTTCTACTGCTCCATTTGAAAAGGACCTTTTACCTTCTCAGACTTCAGCTTCATAGCTATATTTCTTTTTCTGTCACTTCCACAACATACACACACTGAACAGTACGTAGAAGCCAGGCTGGTAGCTCATGCCTGTAATCCTAGCTGCTGAAGAGGCTGAGATCTGAGGATCATAGTTCAAAGCAAGCCCTGGCAGGAAAGTCTGTGAGGTGCTTGTCTCCAATTAACTACTAAAAAAGCTAGAAACGGAGCTATGGCTCAAAATGGTAGAACACTATCCTTGGACACAAAAGCTCAGGGATACACCTAGACCCTGAATTCAAGCCCTAGGACCAGCACACATATACACTCACACAAAATGAGTTGAGCCCTTAATCCATTTGTACTGCTACAACAAAACCTAAAGCTTGATCATTTATACAGGGAAAACAAAATGTTTGTCACAGTTGTGGGAGCTGAAAGTTCTAGGCTGAAGGCATTGGTAGGGTCAGTTGCCCCAATGAACTTCATCCTCCTGAGGAGCCGAAGTCTGAGTCCTTGCATGGCTAAAGAGCAAGCTAGCAAGCTGACTAAAGGCTGTCTACAGTGTCTTATAAAAGGGCCTTAATCCTAACAATGATGAAGTACTCATTGCCTAATCATCTTACAAAGCCCTGCCTCTTAATACCATCACATTAGCAACAACTGAATGTTGCAACCCATCCAAAAACAAAAAACAGCAGTGTGCCTAGCCTGTTCTGTCTGCCCCACCATTCTAGTCACAGAATTCAGTGCATGAATTGGACCTTAGAGCCCATGGTCATCCACTTTTATAGATGAAGAAAATTCAGGGAGAAAAAGTGACTTTTCTGAGGTTCCACATCCTGTCAGTGGCAGATCTGGTTTCCAGGTTAGTATCTTCAGTACATCACCTGCTTTGATCTGGTGCCCCAAGAGAAGCATTTAAAAAAAATCTCAACTAGGACTGAGCATTTCCCCACCATTCTTCAGGAAAGAGTCCTCACATACCACTTGGACAAGGTAGGAAAATTGCCACATGTTCACTCCTTTGGCTTTTGTCAGTAACCCTCATTAACTGAATGCCACTATCTGGACCCTCTTTCTGTATGCAGAACTAGAAGCTCTGGCAAAACAATATATACATGAAAAAGACCTATTTCCAGGAGAGAGTGGCTTTTCTAATAATATAGGCTACAATAACTCTAGTGAAGACTGCTTCTAAAATACATTGGCCAAAATAAAGATAAGGCCCTCCTTCAATTGGGTGGAGGTGGTACTTGGACTCCAATAAGAATAATCTATAGCATGTGTTGCCAACATAGCAACCCCAGTTACAATGCCCTTTCCAAGTCCACCACCAGTGTTCTTGGCCAGTTGAGTGACCCCTCAGGCACACACCAGGCCCAGAGTTCAGGTTGATGGGGTTGATCCCTCTCGGGAATCAGATATGAAAACAAGTAGCCTTTGGTACAGATCTCACTTGTAAGCCATTGTTATGTTATCCAACTATAGTTACAGCACTTGGGAAGATGAAGATGGGAAGAGCAAAATTCAAGGCCAAATGGGTTACATAGTAAGATGCTGTTTCAAAAAATAATTCAGTTGTATTCCTTGCTAGTTGGATGATATGAAGCAAAAATTTAACCATACTGCCTAAAATTTAATATTCTTTATAAGTTGGGTATGTCATCTACAAAATGAGATGATGATGCAAACCTCTGATAGGATGATTGTGGAAAGAAATACAAGATAGTGCATATTAAAGACAGGTATAGATAGAATCTGACAGATTCAAGTAAGGGTTCCACTAATAGTCACCATTGGTATTAATGAACTAATAAAACACATAGAAGCAAAGCTTCAAGCTGTGAAATCACCACTGAATGATAAGTAAAGAAGCATAAGGGAGGGCAGGAGGGATAAATGATAAAGATGTCAGACATTGCTCCGTGGAGTTCCCTTCATGGAAACAAGGTGAGGAGAGTTAATGGCACACTCAAGAGTATTGGGGCGGAGGGGACTTGGGGGGCAGGGGAAGGGCACGGGACTCCATTTTCCCTTTCCTAGTTACATCTCCATAATGAGTAGAATTGTTCTTACAACAATATCTTCCCTACTTAAAAACCAAACACCGCCCCCCTCCAGTATTTTCAGGACAAAGAACACATCTTTTAGGTATACTGATGCTCTAGATATGTGGCCTCCGCATCCCTTTTCTTCCTCATCTCCTTTCCTCCACTGCAGCTTACAACTGTTTGCCACGGTCCAGTGACCAGACACAGCGCACTCTTTTTTCAGGTCCCTCTCTTTTGGGTGAATCTCTCCAGATAGACTTAGTTGTCATCACTTCCATGAGGTTTTCCTAATTTCCCAGGAATCCTGTGCTCGTGACTCCAATAATACTGTAGCTCAGCTACATCCCACTCTAAACCATAGTGTGTTGTGCTCTATTTGTCTTCTCTATTAGAATATTGTGTCTTAATTAACATGAACCTACTTTGAGGAACCTAGCTTTACAACTTGTGAGCAAGATCTCTAAGTAACTTAGTTGCATCCTGTGAGCATCAGAAAAAAATAGTTTATCAAATGACTTAGAAAGATGAAAGTGATCATTCTAAGCTACCGTTAGGTTAACTGAGCAGGAATTAGCCATGAGAAAAGTCATAATGACAAGGTCAACATGTCCATGAAAGTAGGCTGGCAGAGTGGATGAGGGAGGCAGAGTGAGAGTGTTACCATTTAAATGTATATATGGTGATTGCCTTTAAAAATTGGCCCCACTTGAAAGCTGGTGAGGGCTTCAGAGCTGGTCTCTCCTGATGTTGGGTGTTTTGTCACATACATACTTGCAAGTGACCCATTTGTGAGGTCTTAAAGCAGTCATATGCTGCTAAGTCTAGATGGAAGGGTTGGACAGCGTTGGCTAACACGTTGGTATCATCACTCAGATAGCAGCTCCTGTTTTCTCTGCTGCCAGGATGCCCTGAGCCTACTGACCTTTGGATGGGAATGTTCTGCAGATAGGAAGCGGTGCCCCCCGCCCTCCGTTTCCTTCTATCCCCTCTTAAGTCGAGAGGCAGCCAGTCCTGTGCTATGACAGTCTGAGAACAAATACTGGCACTCATGTTCCTGCCAAGTGGGTGAGTTTCAGCCCTGTTCTCCACGATCTCCTCCCAACTGCAAGTGATTTAGACTTACTGGATTTATATAACATTGGGAAATGGTAAACTGTGTAAATTTGTGTTCCAGGGACAGTTATTTATGGAGGGTCATTTTTTAGCTCAAGTGTTAGAAGTGTTAAATCATTATAATAAATTCCTGCTATTCAGACTTTCTTACATTGTAATAATTTTTTTCTAAGCATGAATGAGGAGATCCATTATTGTTCTAATATACTATTATGTATGTCTTCTCAAAGTGACACAACTTACTACATCAAGCGGGTGAATAATAGAAGGAAATTTACCATGTTGGAATTTTTTTAATGAGCAGTGATGAGTGTGAGCAGGTTCTTAGGAACAGTGCTATTTAGCAGAATTCCTGGCCTCTCTTTTTCCCAGGATAAGAGAAGCAGCCTAGGGTGGATCTGGGTGGCATAACAGCTCCCCCTGAGCTTCAGTTGAAGGAATGGGCCAGGGATGCCAGTTGGCTCTATTTCATCCTGTGTGGGGGCTTCTAGAAAAGAAAAAGAAAACCTCTGTGTCTCCATCACCATGACACATCAGTGCCAAAATCATCGCTCTGAACAGAAAGCTGCCCTCCTAGAACTCCACCCTCCTTTCTCCTCAGAGAGATCACCTTTCTCCCCACCTGGAAAATACATAGCTTTCCTCAGAATTGGTGATGTAAAAAGTTCTAGAATCAGCTCGTTGCCGGTATCTCGTGCCTGTAATTCTAGCTACTCAGGAGGCTGAGATCTAAGGATCATGGTTCAAAGCCAGCCCAAGCAGAAAAAATTGGAGATGCTCATCTCCAATTAACCACTCAAAAACTGGAAGTGGTGCTCAAAGTAGTAGAGCACTAGCTTTGAGCAAAAGAGCTCAGGGACAGCACCCTGATCCTGAGTTCAAACCCCACAACTGACAAAAAAAAAATAGTTTTACAATTGTTGTCTTATGTGAACTCTGAGGCATTTTCTAACTGTCCATTCAGCCAGGGAAAAGCACAGTGACATGGCTCCTACTGTCAAGCAGCATCAGTGGAGTGAGGTAGATGGTCAAGTGGAATAGCAAATCTAGTTTCCTGAGATCAGTGCAGTTGGAAGTTGG